AGAGCTCTACAGAATGAATGTTATTTATTTCCTCAAGAGTCAAGAGTCGAAAAACAATGCCACGGTCTTATCCTTACCCTAATAGCTTGACAGCAAGTGATCGTAGGGAATGTTTGCGAAGCGGGGTAAGTGATGCCAATTGCTTATGAAAGTCTATGATGTTCGCATTGGCGAATTGTAGTTCTCTTTGCTTGGCTGACGTGGCATTGCACTGGCGCTACGCTCTCGCCCTGGGCGCTAAATGTCGTTGGACTGTCATTGTGTTGCTATTGTTTTTCCTCTGGGTGGTTCAAATCAGACATTTGAAGGATAAGGGAACTGGCGTCGTTAGGCAGAAGGGAAACAGTCGTGTGGGAGATCCTTCGCTCGATAATCGTTTATAGGAAGGTCCCGACTTTTGTTCTTTACGGTAGAATTCCACATGTGGTCAGCAATGGATATGTCTGAATTTTCTGCGATCACTCCTTTTTGTTTAATTTGTTGGTCCATTTGTTACTGACTCGGGAATCTTCATGATAAATGTTTGATTGAGTAACTTTCCATTTATGACGTAGACCTTTTCATTCTAATGATATTTTTTTGTTCAGTGATGAGGCCAAATCCACTACATATCACCTTCAAGAATCCGAACTGGCCTGCGAATTTCATCACTCCTGAGAATGTCCTCGAATATTTTTGCAACTCTGACAATGCATTTTACGACAAAGCATCATGTAACGAAAATGTACGGATGCAGAATATTTCGCGACCGTTGGAGGAGTGTTTACTGTAAGTTGCTTGTGATTTTACCCAGAACTGCTGTTCAGTTTTCTGACAGGTTCTCGAACATGTCGCGAAATGTTTAATTTTGAAATGTTCAGGTCAATGACTGGTATCCAGTATGTGTTATGGAGTGCGCAACCGCCTCTTTATGTGATTTGTAAACATCGTCGAAATAATATGCAGAACGGTACGTGCTTTATAGTTGCCATTTGAAAAGAAAGGTGGTTGGTTAAATTGCGTTCATACTCTGCGTCAGCATTTTGAGCGTACGGCAATGATTTGAGCGTTTCTAGTGACTAGGAAAGTGAGGTATCGACCTAGCCTACGCCAGCCTTCGGCACGGTTCCGAGCGTTTTGATAGGTTAAGAAAGTATGCGTATCGATCTAGCGTTTCGAACGTACGCCAGCTTTTTCAGCGACTGCCTGCAGAAAGCTCAGACGGCGAAACGTCCAAACAGCTGGGGTGCGCTCAAAAATCTAGATGGGTACCTATACTTTTCTAGTTGTTCAGAACGCTGCAGCACGCTCCAAACGCTGACGCAGAGTATGAACGCTCCCTTAGGGTCACATCGTGCATGACAATGCCGACGACCCGTGCCTCCTTGTGTGTGGCCTCCCACTAAGTAGGCAAGCGGCGTATATACCCATTCTAAGACTCCGAAAACTCGTTGCAGAACAAGACGTGAAGTAAGTGATGTGGTTTCAGTGACACCCCTTGCTTACTACTACATCATAAATGGCACCGTATATCAAGCTCCAGACGTCTATACATTTGTTCAGTCGAGATTGCTCGGTGCTGTAGAACCACTGAAGAATGCGTTCGATCAAGTCGTACAGTATTCGAGGTAAAATTGTTTAACGAGGAAAGATCAATGGATTAGTTAGCCAGTGAAGTGTATACCATTGAGCGCGCCTTGATGCGCAGAGTTAGTTTTGCCTTCGAACAATGCTACTGAACTGTGAAAGGAGCCATGGCATATTTTTCCATGCATCCTCCACTTATCTTCTTCCGCAGGAAAAATTTGTAGAGGGCGTACTTCCTAGTAGAGATATACTAAGTGAGCGCGTTCACTCATAGGGAAGAATTCAGTTTTGAGTTTCTGCATACCATGCGCTTTTGTTATTTTTTAGAAGTTCAACTGGTCCCATGCTTTTCGAAGAGATAACTCGAACTCTGGAACTTTGAAGTGTTTCCGTATCAGGCAGCGTGTAATCTCAGAAAAGCAAGAATGGTGAAAATATCAAAAGATTCGGACCTATGACCTCTCACCTATGAGTACCCACACTTACCCACTGCTATACTAGCCACTAGCAACTATGGGCGTTCCCCCAACCGTTATTAAGGAAGGCAGAGAATACGGTATTCCCCTTCAAACGATAGGGCGTGTGACGGAGCGTAGAGATTAGAGCGTACTCAATGCGGCCTTTTCTGCCAATGATGCCATCGTGGACACGGCAAGATCGCACTGACTCGATTTCCCCCAATAAGCATCCATGATCACCAGTTATTAATATTCAGATTTATTCGAGAAATTTTCAGATATAATGTTGCAAAGGGTTACTACTGGCAGTTCGACAAGAAGCCTGTGGTCAAAAAAGAGGACGAAAAGGTCTGTTAGTGTCATGCACTGTTATTACGGATAGTCGATTATCTTAATCAGCAGTTTTATTCAGTCAGAAGAGGAGCAGCCACTCCAAGCTCGCAGCACACACTTTCAGAAGACACGCACTCATATGCTGATGCAGAACCTCTTTGAAATGTTCCCAGCTGGGAACGCTGTGGCAATTTCGGTTAGTGGTTTTTCGGCATTGGGGAGAGGAAACTATGCGTGCATAGATAGGATTATTGGCTAAATTATTTGGATAAGTTTTTGTATCGTCTTATTTTGCAAAACTTGTGATTTATTTATCTCATGGTCCTTAACTCTTTTTTCTTTCATTTTCACTTCGTATTCAAACGATTTTCGTAGATCAATCATTTTGGCATGTTTCCATATGCGTGAAGATTTCTTTGATTATGCGTAAATCTAATCTAAATGAGTATCGAATCACTAATATTGTAGAGGTTGTTAATCATTTTTAAATGAAATTCTTGACATTAAAGTGAGGATTTGCAATTCTTTAGGACCCTCCTGAAAAGTCGGAACCAATGGATACCGAGGAAAAGCCAGAAACAAATGGTGATGTTGCAGCACAACAAACTGAAGAAACGACTCAAGCGCCCAGCACTTGGCCGCCGCAAGTCTAAATAGAACGCGTGCAATTATGAAAGGTTAAACTATGCATATTATCTAGCATCGGGTATGCAGGTTCTGCAGCTGTTTTTTGTACATAAGTGTGATAGCATCAGAGCATGAAGTTGACTTGTTTACATGAAGTTTTCGAATTCCTCCAATGAGAAGCTAAGCGGTTTCCGGATGGTTTGAAAATCTGCTTCAGATCTATTTTGGAACTGAATTAATATGACTGATAGTACATTGAAGACCAGCGTCCGTAAGCATCGTGCGAGACGGAAGAGGATACCTTTTTTTTGGAGATTTCTTTTTTGTTGTTCATGTTCGGTCCGCTCAAAATTATGATTGCTTTTTGGCGCAACACGCCATGGTGGGAGGGGGCAACTTTATTCGTCTTCTACGATTATTTGTACTCTCACCGAGCAGCTTGAAATTGTGAATTTCCTAGCGCGTCGACAAAGGCGGCTGGTCACTGGATAACCAGGAACTATTTTTTTCCAGGCTAATTTAGTCATTTTTTCCACCTTGTGAAGATAAGGAGCTGCTAATCTGGGAAAAAGTAGCCAAAACAGTGAAAAGTTGGAAAAAATGACTAAATTAGTCCTGGAAAAAGCAAATAGTTCCTGGCACGCGCTGCGGCCCGTTGACGACCGCCCTAATCAACTGCCCGGATGACGAGGTTACAAACCAGCAATCGGAAAGACCGTTGTAACATTTCTCGTAGGCTCTAAAAGTAGGTCACTTGTACCATTTGAGAACATTAGTGAACGCGAACTAACAAAGGAAGTTCGCGAGATTGCAATATGCTTTCCCTCCTCCTCTGAGCTGAAGAGCCGCCATTTTCGAGCGAAGAACTTCTACAACCTCCTGCTGTTATATTCATTGCCATACCATTGTTGATTACTAACCAAAATTACTAGTTGATTACTAACCAAGACCTGCATTCCAGACTGGCTGTGCTCGAGCTATGTCACGATTCTGTACCTGTTCCAGCTTGAAAAAGCCCCGCGACGTGTTTCGATTCTGCTTGATGAACTGGCTTGCTGCGGTGGATTTGAGGCGAGACCTCCTCTGTTGTTCCAGTAGTATTATCTCGCCGGTCTTGGCGCATCCGACCGAAAATGCAATAGCAAGGAACGGGTCATTGAAACCTGTTTAGCAAACAAAAAGAGAAGCTGCAGGCGGCGTTTCAAAGGAGAGCGACATCGCTGCACAACAAATCCCGCAGGGAAAACGCCTGGGCGGGCATTGATTATCGACGTAGGCAAGACCGCCTGCATTGCCAGGCACAGGCTCCTCTTATATTCTTCATTTCTGCGGGCAGGATGGAATTTAATAGAAAACGTGACTTTTTCCGGCTATATTCCACGTTCCCATTACCTTCAGTGAGTGTTGTACATTTAACGGTAAGACACTCACATAGCAATCACTAACAATCATTAATGAATTACTTTCTCTATTTTATTTGTCACTTTCTATATCTTCACTGAACCTAGTTGAAACTGGTTGAAAAAGTGAAGACTTACATAAAGACTGTTCTTTAATAAGTTTTTATTTATTGTCTTTAGTTATTTTCGGAAACTTGGTATCAAAATTGACTCTTATTAACGACTCGGTAGATAACCGCCAACAACGCTTATAAACCACAAACAATAGTTGATCTTTTCTCAAGATTAATTTCACTACCTTCTAGAACAAAGCTATCGCTTATAGTGGGTCATCCCACTCCACGTGGAGACATAACATAACACAAATGAAAGCAAAGGAGCTAGTGGGCTCTTAGATGGTTTGAAAGCTGGTATCTTTAGCTAAATATTCATGAAATTTGGCCAACATAGCCACAGAGGAAAAACTTGAAAAGTGAAAAGAAACCTGGAAGGTCAAAATTAGTGCCAGATTAACGAGTCGGGAACCGGTAATACAAGGAAAGTGAGCTACTGAAGTCAATAATGTGCTGGACCAGTGATTTCGTAGAATGGTGTTGTCTTAGCGGAATGTGGAAGAATGGTTCAAAGGGGAAGAACGGAAAAAGGAAGTGGCCGAGAAGGGCTCCGTAATGTTCATACTGCACAAGAAAACTGAAAAGAAACCTGAACGTAAAAGGCTTGGTCGGCATAGCCGGGGGAAAAATGGAAGAAGAAGTTGAAAAGAAACGTGAAAGGTCGAAATCAGCGCTGGATTCTTGAATCGGCCATGATGTTAGGAAAAAGCGCTGCTCACGTTGATTCTGTGTTGGACCAATATTTGCGTACAGTGTTGTTCTCAAAACACAACGTGGAAGATTTGGCGCAGAGGTCTGAAGATGGAAGAACGAGGAAAGTTTTAGCCCCGTAATGTTCGTCGTGCGCAAGAAAAGCGGTGGATGAAGTCCAGCGTCGAATGTCTGACTGCAGAGACTGAATCTCTGTCGAGTTTCCCCGAGAGACTGACATTCCTGCTCCATCCGTTGACCACGTTACCCTAGAGAAAATGAGCATGGTCAGAGGGTGCTTGTTTGAATGCGTGCTTTTCTTACAAAAGCACGAACACAGATTCGACTCTATGCCTGCAGCAGCAATATTCCCCGACGTTATCCAAGGTCGGCCACGAAAGACGGTGGGTAGTTTCGTAATCCGAGTTGAAGCTCACAAACTCTGGCTCCGCCTGAATGCAGATGAGAAACCTCCCGGGTTATGTCACGAGGACTTACGTGGGCGCAAGCGCGTAATCATAATGGCAATAATTGCTGCCTTTCACCTTTTACCTTTCTAGTGCCACGGACAAAACCGTCACTGTTGGTGTCTGCCTATTCGCTGACGACCAGATCGACATCGACAATGACACCACACATCTAAAAGAAGGTGATCGTTGCTCATCACAATGTCATCCACCAGCTGGTTGTATTATTGGGTAGTGTTCCATAAAATCAATGCGGAGACTTGAGTTCAGTTGCCTTATTTGCCCAATCTAAAGCCAATTGCAGCGTGAAATTTCACCTGTTGAGGTCACTTGAAGGTTTTATCCAAGAAAACGCTACGATAGTTTGTCGGTTGCTGAAATTGCCATCAACAGCAATTTACTTGCACTTGATGAAAAAGCAAAGAGACTAGTGCTTCACACGCACCCCGAGAACGAGAAGCGGGTCATTCATGAAAGCTAGATCTGCTTGCCAGGGAAGTCCTCTAACTTACCACGGAACTTTGAATGGAGACGTGGGTAGATCGGTAGAGTCTGTAATGTTTACAAATACAGATATCAAAACTGCTACCTGCATTCCACAAGCAACTTCTGAGTAGTTAAAGTTTGCAATGGTGCAGTACGGTGAGGAGTTGGTGCTGAGCTGCGAAGCATAAGCGATGAGTCGCACACGGCAAATCGAGTCGTGGTGGTTCAGCGGTAAGGTTTTCGCTTCACAGGCACAGCATGCGGGTTCGGTTCCCATACGAGTGTTACTTTTTGCTACATTGTTTTTACCTGATTTTTCGGCACACACACTAAATACATGGCTATTTTGCAGCAAACGTGGCAGATCAAATCCGTAAATGACGCGTGGCATAGATTTATCTTCATTCACCAAGGCATTCTCTACAGCAAAGATAGTTTCCATGCTCTTGGCAAAATTTGGGTCACAGAAGGACGACGATACTGCCACTCGGGAGGAGAGGAAAATCGTCGCAAGGTTTATTGCTACATTGCGCGATGGTGTCGCAGGTGGAATTGAAGGAATTGAATACGCTTATACAATCTCTGGATGTGTTCTTTTGCGGCCCCATAAAAACGCTATGAAACGGATTAGGACCCAGGAGATGGTGAATAATGTGGCATTCAACATGACCCAGAAGGACAACATACTGGAGTTGTTATCAGAAGTGTACCAGATGTTTTGTGCCCCGAGATTTTTGAATTTTCTGAAGTTTTCGTGGTACAAAGTAGATTGTATTGTTGATCATCCAGGAGCCTTTGTCACTCCTGGTGATTATTTGTTAAGTCTTGAAAGTCTGCTTCATGAACGACTGAAGAGAAACAGCATCCATTAGATACCCAGTTTGTGAGCAGCAAATCTGCTTCACGCACTTTTTTGAATTGCTTCATCAGTGTTGAAACATTGGTAACTGTTTAAATGCCGATATTCTCAATGTTGTGAATGAAATAAATCATGCATAAATAGTTCCACAGTAAATAGACGCGAAGAACGTGAACCAAGTGATGGCCAGTTGTTAATCCGTACTCAAGTCCGACAATCAGGTAAATAATCCGTACGGAAGTCAAAAAATCAGGTACAAAAGCAATGAAGCAGAAATCTGTGCACTTACGGCAACTGAACCCGCATGCTGCGCCTGTGAAGCGAGAACCCCACCCGTGTACCACAACGACTCAATGTCCCGCACGAGATTAATCCCTTATCCTTCACGGCTCAGCACCAACTCCTCACCGTAGTGCAAGATTGTAAACTTTACCTGCTAAGTTCTAAGTTGCTTGTGAAATGCAGGTTGCAGTTTTGCTATCTATATTTGTAAATAACCTTATAGACTCTATCGATCTACCCAGGTCTCCATTCAAAGTTCCATGGTAAGTTGGCGGACTTCCCTGGTTAGTATGAAGTCGAAATATTGCTCTTTTTCCTTTCTTTCTTTTTAAATTTGAATAAAACCGCCCACATTTGTGAATGAGATTGACCTAATAAAATACTGAACTAGATTAGAGAATATAAACGTGATATTGTACTATAATATATCATACTCTTACGAGGCAATAATAGTTGCTTGCTTGCTTTGAGCGGAATAGGTGTGTTTTCAGAGCACGTGCACATAGCATAGGACGAAACCTCGAAGAGTTTCTGTGCGGCACCTTCACCACGTGGTGGTTCAGCACGGAGTAAAGTGAACAAGTTTATGCTGCGTACGTAGCCACATGCTAACATGCGCATGAAGGCCATGGAGAATGTTCTAGCAATGTGGTGTGTTGTCGCCTGCGGACGTATCGACGCAATACTCTGAGCGCTATGAGGCGGAATGAGTGTAGTGACAAGTGGGGC